GGGCTGCCAAATCATGTTGAGGGTGGGGAATATGCTAGTAAGGGTCCAATCCTGCACACCTTTCCCTTTCTTCTCTAACTGAAGTTCCAGATGTGAAATGAAAGGGCAAATCCTGGTAATTCTCATGGCTCAGCCTGGGTGATCAAACTGCTGAAACACTTACATGAATAATCCCACACCTTCCCTAGAGTGCACACGACTCTCCCTTAGTTCAGTAGCTGCTCCAGTAAGCTAGCCAGCTATCATCACTCCTGCAATTGAGAGCCTCTTCTGTGCTAGGCTTTGAATCTGTCTGGTCACAAATAGACTCTTTAGAAATTATCTCTGGCTCCACTTGAATGAAAACAGTAACCCAGCCTTGCTTTGATAAGGAGGTCCTGTCCTGGACTTCCTGCAAATAAGTGGACCTGATTTCTCCTCACCCTACCTCTAGCTTTATTTATTTATATATCTTCCATATTGTTCTTCTTTCTCCCAGCCACAACCCCTGCCTTCATCCCCCTTCTCCCCACCTCTGGCATTCCAACAGGGGCATGTGCATGAGAGTGCGTGCATGAACACATACATACATACACAGTCGTCACATATATTCCTTTCAACTGCAGACCATACCCTTGATGTAAAGGTCTGTCTGCTGGACCATGCTGTGAGCCCCTCAGTGAAGGATACACTTCTCCAGAAGCAGTAAGACTGTAGACCGAATTTACCATCAGAGAGAACAACAAAATGACTTGGTACCTTTGTAATGGTGCTGTTTCCATAGTTTTTAATGACAAACCTCAGAAAGCTTTTCTCTCGAGAAAAGAGGTTTCATTTCCTAGGATTCTGTATAAAGTTAGAGGGAAGCATTTTCTTATAAAGTAACTGCATAATATATTGTAGCATAATAATTTAATGGAGTAATGACATTGCTTAGATCTTGACATTTCTTTAAGTTTTATTCATTTCTGAAAGAACCCCAGATATTCACACAAACATTCAAACTACTTACATTGCTCATTTTCCCACAATTTATTACATATAAATATTGAAATGGTGAGAAGGGCCCAGAATAGCTTGGAGTATTCCATCATTTGTGAAGAGTGTTGTGACCTCTTGTGCTTTAATTTAAACCCATCATGTCTATTTGAAGTTGGTGGAATGATATGCATCAGACTTACATAATCTGTCATCTTCATAAGCTTCAAATTAAAAAGCAAAATAGAGTTTAAAATTGCCACTTGCCTTCAACACTTACATTGAGATAATAGTGAATATCTTACTCAGTTATAAATTGATATGCCCAGCACAAGATTTCTTTTTAAATTCTTAGCCTTTTCACTTAAAAAATTAAATCATACAGAATCTATCTAGGATTTACCAACTGGAAGCATACTGGAGTTGAGAGCATTTGCCTTCAAATGCTGATCTATGGACTGGATGTGCTAGAATTACCCAGGGAGTTTTTCTGAACAGTGTAGATGCTCAGATTCTAACCTCAGACGGCAACGCACAGCCAGGTGAGGGAACCACTAACAAGGGCTTTTCCAAGAGTGCCTCTGGAGACAAGTCGAATACTCCCCAAAAATATTGTCACTCATAAAGAAGTTTGGGAAGCCCTACACACTCTATCTTCATCAGAGCTTTATAATGTACATCATCATGTTATAGGATTTTGGAAGTCCTGCAGTAAAGAAATCAGGTGGGTCCAGCATTTCCTAAACTTAAATAATGTGTGATCTTGGAACCCAATTTTTGCATAAATTCCAATCAAGATTTTTCCAGGAACCTATTACAGATTTTCCACAGATCCTTAGTGGGGAGAGCTCCCTAGTAATAAGTCTCCAGGAGTGGGGAAAAGTGTGAGATAGGTAGGTATGTTTGTCAAAGAGGGTTTGACTTTATTAAGATTGAGTTTTTTCACTGATTCTAAAGAACTAAGGTTTATTTAGTGCCTACCATATGACAGACACTGGATTGTGTTCTTTGCCTACATGGATTTATTAAATTCTTACAAAAACCCCGGAAAGTTGCTATTTAAAGATGAAAAATGAGGCGTTAGAAGACCCCCGTCGTAACTGTGACTGAGTATGCACTGTGGTTCTTTAACTTGTGCCAAGTTGTGGGAGGACAAGAAAGTAAGACATGGTATCATAAGTCAAGGAAAGGGAAATGCGCCTTGAATTAATCATTAGTAACCTTGCAGCTTCCTAAACAGAAATACAATTTTACATCCTATATGGAGTGTCATGATCCGAGCTGCTCTATCATTTATTTGATAACAAACAAGAAGATCCTTACTAACATGGGAGTCAGAGTTTAAGGGACTGGAGTGACATCCTGAGAATGGGGAAGTGAAGGTTTCCTACAAGCTGAAAGCGTTTACCTTAGTTGCCCAGAGCCTCCTGATTCTCCCAGGTTGTCTTCTAAGTTCTCTCTTCCTCCTAGGTCCTCCTTTTTTTAAAGCAGTTAATTTTCTTTCACCAGTCTTTGTCCTAGAACAGCTCATCACATTTCCTTCCCCTGTTGCTAAGCCCTTCCAGCCCTAACCCCCAGACCCTGTTCAGTCCATTATGGCTCAGAGCTGCATTGACATTCACTGTCTTCACTGAGATTTATATTGAAGGCCAATATGAGAAATGATCATGCAAAGAATATCTCAATACCTGAAACACTGCTTCTGAAGATGTACATTTGCTTTATTCAGTGTTCCTCATGGAAAAGAGCCACCTAATAAATACCTTAGAATTCAGTTTCCAAAATAAAAAAATATATTAACATGATATATTAGTATATATATTATATATATAAGTGGTGATGAGCTAGATTGTTTCTCTTTGCAATAAAAAAGAATGCTTCCTTTTTGACCTTGAAAAAAGTTTGATCCTCAATTATACTATTATAGAGTACATTTTCCTATTTCTGTTTTAGAAGTCATATTAAATACATGTGTATCACCTGCAACCTTCTAAAGTAGCAGTAAATATGATATTTTATTGATTCTTGAGCACTGCATATTTGTATTTCAAAAGCCCAAATTGCATTACAATTACTCTTGTTCCATGATTGAGATCTAAAAAATCACACTAGGGGAAAGATGATTATCATCAAATGGGTACTGCCGGGGCTCCTCCACTCCAAAATACTCCAATGTATTTTTTTAAACCAAAACAGCATTTTCTTTGTCACTGAAGGGGTACACAAGTAACACATATATAAACCCATAACCAACTGTAATTAGAAGAAACTGCCAGAATGCTTGGACAATAGGAGCCCGGTAGAATAAGTCAAACCAATAAAGTTTGTTTTCTCCAATGGCAGAGAACAGTAGTGGAATAATTCAGAACTGCTTTATATCATTTAATATATTTTTTAAATTAATTAAAAAAATCAAAATTAAATAGAAAAATATAGATTGATACCTACCACCCACCACTATCTTCATCCACCCTGTTCCTTCACCTGGTTTCCTATGACTTTTTTTCTGATTACTTTATTAGAGCATGATTGACATGTATAAATCTGCACACATTTAACATATATAGCTTGAGGAGTTTGGGGATAAGTGTGTATGCATGAAACCATCACTACCATCAAGGCCATAGACATATCCATCACCTCCCAAAGTTTCCTCCTATTATTACTATTAGTAGTAGTCATAGTAGTAGATAAGAACACTTAACATAAGATCTACCCTCTTAGCTAATTTTAAATATACAACAAAGTATTGTTAGCTGTACTATGCTATATAAGAAATCTCCAGAACTTGTCTTGCATAACTGAAGTTATATCCTTTGACCATTGAATTCTTGGGTTTGGGTTGGAAATAATATCTATTCCGTACTTAGACAAAAGGCAGCATATTATATACATTCTTCCACACCTTGCTTTTTTCACTTAACAGCCTGCCCTGGAGATTTTCCATACGAAAACATTGAAAGCTTTGTCATTTTTTAATAGCTATATAATATTCAATTCTGTGGAGGTACTATAGTTGACTTTGTCATCTGCAGACCATCTTTTGTACCACAGTGAATACACATAATATACATCATCTTACACATGTGCAAATACAACTGTAAGAAATTTTCCAGAATTGAAATTGCAGTGACAAAAGAAAAGTACAGTTTTTATTTTGACAGATATTGTCAAATTGTCCTTTGTAAAGATTACACCATCTTCCACTTATATCAAAGTTTCCCCACATCCTCATAATTATTTGAAAAAATTTGTGTGATTTTTTTAAACAAATTCCATTTTAATGATGCTGACTTATTAGAGCTTACATTCTCTTAATGATGCTGACTTATTAGAGCTTACATTCTCTGAGCTCAAACCAACTGTGTAATATATTAATTTGAGATAGGTATAGTCAACTCTTTATTAACATGGAAAGGAACCATGTGCAAATTTGGCAGATAATTCAGTAGCAATTCAATTCAGCTTTGAAATATATTGTGATTTTGTCCTCATTACATTTTCTTTCCTTATAGTGTCTGCTTTAGGTTATATTAACTCAAAGTTTTTACCACAAACTGCTACTCGTAGAAGAAGATGGCCAAGAGTCAGAAAGAAATCAGTGTAGAATTCAGAATTTTTCTACTTTATCGCTGGGACCATAGATGATATTTATTTTGTTCTTTTTGATATATTTTTTAAGTTACAATGTGCTCAGATTACTTGTGTAAAAAAAAAGAGAGAGATTTTTAAGAGACCCAACACAAGTTGCTTTTAAAAAGCCCAACACAATATAATACTGAATTATTTTTAGCCTAGAACTGTAAACCCCAAAGGAAATTATATTATTTTAAGCAGCACTAATTAATCAAAATAAATTTTAATGAAATTCATTCAAATATAGTTTTTAAAACTGCTCTTCACCATGTATCACTTAGAAAGTGGAGAAGCCACGTGTAAATTGTGGAGAGTTGATCAAGTTGTTATGGCCTCTGTAAAATCCTTGGCAAGGGAGGGCTCAGCAGTACAGAGATGTCTGATTCAGCCTTTCTCTCCCCTTATAGCATCTTCCTCAAAGAGCTGGAGAAGTACGAGCAGCTGCCTGAGGATGTGGGACACTGCTTTGTTACCTGGGTAATGGACCTGAAATCCTTCTTCCACTGTCCCATGCTTTCCAGGATTACAGACGGTATAAGATGGTATCACTGTTCAACGCCTGACCTGAGGATTGGTGTCACTGACATTTTAACACAGGACCAGGGACTGTACAGAGGGGCCATGAGTTTATCTGAGAGGCTCCCCATCCCTGAGGAGCACAGCCCTCATTAGGACAAGTCTGAGTATTGTGTTCAAGCTTCACTTTAGCTCTCTAACTTTCTAAAATCGAGATATCCAAGAGTAGAACAAGACCACCACCCTTGGTAGAACTACTCCAGCTCCATCCACTAGTGTTTTGGGGGGATTTTGTTGTTATTGTTTGTTTGTTTTGGCAAGATGAAAGATTAGGGATTTAGAACTTTAAGAATCCACCAACCATTGGTTTTATTTTATACATTCTTCTGCACTCTTATAAGAGAACAGACCCCTCGGATATCCATCCCAATTTTGACCTACAGAATGTCTGTCATTCTCTTTCTTGGTGCTATTGTCATGGGCCAAGTAAATGGGCTAAATGCACCAGGTTTGACTTGTATAAATGGAAACATTAGTCTCCATCAGCATCTCCACACCACATTAATCTGAGCTCAGGTTCATGATAGGAGTACAAACGTGTCCAGAAAGCCCACCTAGGACACTAAGTGCAACTAAACATGGAAATCCTTCCCCAGGGTAAGGAGTTTTAATATTTAATAATTATCTAATTATAACTTCCACTCAGAATGAGCTAGTTACTTTTAAAAATGTCTTCACGATTCAAAGGGTTTATACTCTCAACAGCCCATAGAATAGGTAGGGCTATGGTTATGTTTTATATTTTATAGTTGGAAACATTTCAGATGAGCTAGGAGGTTGACTGTGTAATAAATATCACAGCCAGTCGCACAACTCAAGACCTGAGTTGTTTTCATGAAACCTTAACGTTTGCCTCCTTGGTGTACTCTCATTTCTCAAGGAAGCCTCAGACTGCCATCCTATATTGTGCTAATACATTTTCTGCCTCTAAACACATGAGCCAATGCATAGCTCACATTAACTCTGATAAACAATTTATAATCCCTTGCACAGCCAATGTAGAGAAAAAACAAAATCAACCATTAAGTGAAGGGATTTATTTTTTACATCTTGTTTCATACAATTTGTGAATTTGCCTTACAATCAACCATAAGTATGATTTATCAGCATCTCTTAGGGATGATGAATGCCTCCCAGGTAGTATATAAACCTTAAAATTGGCTTCAGGAAACCTTTGGTGATTGCATAAAATACACACATCTTGCCAAGAATTATCTCAAGGGGACTTTAAGTCTCAGAATCTTAATATATGAATGTAGTATAGGAGTAAAGAGTAGAAAGAGTTGTTTGTAATGTACTGAAAAGCAATGGTTATGAGCAAGAAGCTGAAGTCGGCTTGGCTGGGCTCTACCACTTTCTAACTGTGGGAATTTTAATCAATCTATGCTACAGTTTTCACACCTGCTAACTGGGGATGGGAATAATAGAACTCACCACATAGGGTTCTTGTGAGGATAATATGGGTTAATATATGGAGAGCATCTAGAAATGCTGGCATAAATGAGACCTGCTATAATTAACACATATCTAGACTGCTTTCTCAGAAGAGAACATCCCAATGTTCTACAGGCACCAAAATGGGCTGCATTTCACAAATGGGAAAAGTATGTGGTGGTCAAAATATGCACACACATTTCCCAGTGGAGAGAGGGTCCTGAGAGAAATGAGAAGTGAATTTTCACCAAGCTATAACATTCTTGACTTGAAGTAACAATCTTGTGAGGATCCATTGTTCAGACCCTGCCCCATAGATTCACCCTGCTTTCCTTTTCCCCTATTATTGCTTCTGAGAAGTTAGGGATAATGGCATAGTCCTTTAACATGCACTACAAACTACCTCCAGTGGAGATATTTGGACAGCAAAGGCTGTCATTTTTCAAATGGGAAGCACAGTTGTGATAATCCAAAAAAGAAAAATAAAAAGATAATCTCCAAGTAAATTCTGTCCAACATCAAAATACCTTATGATATGTGAATTGGTTTTTCTAAATCTTTCTACCACAGACTAGCATTAAAATGAGCTCACTTTTAGCGAGCTTTCCTTACCTACTGATAAGACAAAAGCATCCCAAAGTTTGTTAGGGGAGTGTGGGCCAGATGGCCTAGAATATTTGCCACAGCTAATCCTGTGGCACACAAAATCTAAGGTTTAAACTACATAGCCCTTCAGGCACAGTCAACAGAAGGCAGCACCTAATGGATGTTTATCTATTATTGTCTTTGTTCTTTTTAGGCAGACAAATTTCAGATGTATGTCACCTACTGTAAAAACAAGCCTGATTCCAACCAGCTGATCTTGGAGCATGCAGGCACCTTCTTTGATGTAAGCTGTGATTTTCCTTTCTTGAGCCATTGATGAGCAGGTGGAAATGCTTCTCTACTGTGAGATAATGGATTTTTAGCTATCCTTTGTTCCTCATTTTTCTTTATTGGCTACCCCAAACCTCTCTCTCATGAGTAAAGCATGGAGAGAAACAAAAGCAGTGTTTGTCTTTGGTTTTACCCCATCCTATCTCAAATGCTGTGATTTTGTACGAGGCCCTTACCTCCACACCACGAGCTAGCCACCAATTTCATGTGCAGAGGAGGCCTCCAATGATGCAGGTGTTGATTAAGATATTTTACTTCTACTTCATGTACAGCTCCCTCAAAGGTAGGGGTTCTCAACATCTCATCCTCAGACCAGCCACACAAGTACCACCTAAAAACATGTTAGAAATGCATATTTTAGACCACCCTCCAGATCTGTTGAATTGGGATCTCCAGGGCTGGAGCTCAAAAATCTGAGTTTTAAGGAGCCCTCTGGGTAACTCTGATGCCCACTCACACTTGAGAATCACTACTCTATTGCAATTGTTTCAACCTTGGCTACACAGGGCATCACCTCGGGAACTTCGAAAAATTCTGATTCCTGAGTGGTCTGGGTTTTCCCTGGGCATTGAGAGTTTTAGAGTTTCCAGGTGGGGGTAATGTGTAGCAAGGGTTGAGTACTTTTGCTGCAAGAAAGCCAGGAAAAGAGTCAGAGCTGATGTGCCTTGTCAGCTCCTTTGGTCTTGAATGAGGATCCAGTCCCATTAGTGAATATATGAGTCTGTGTAGTGCTGGTGCCCAGAGAGACCTATTGACTATACATTAAACAGAATCAAATGGGTCGCTGCAGGATTCGAGGGAAGAACAAGGAGAGAAGAAACGAAGAAAAAAGGGAAGTTCAGGGAGAGACTGTAGCGGCGATGGCCATTCTGGTATTCATATCTGAAGTGACAAGTACTTGAAATTCAGAACTTGCTAGTATCTGTCAGCCTATTTATCTTTCTGCCTACCTGCTTTTATTCCTTCCATAAATATTTCAATGTCTACTGTATGCAGGATGAGTGCTGGATGCTTCAGGGAATACAGACATTTACACATCATCTCTTACTCAAGTTTACAAAATAAACCTTTTCTGAGCATCTTTTTAGCCTGATACTGTCTTAACAGAAATGATTCTACAAATATCTTGTTGCACAGCAAAGGAATGACATTTTAACGGGAGAAAGCCAGACAGGAAAAACCATACATCACTTTTTTTAATGGAGCATTAATAATGGAAATGGTCCTAAGAGTCCCAAAGTGGAATTTCTGAGGTTTCTGAGATTTGATAAAATAGAAAATCCAAGTAAAGTACTTCTCTAACTTGGTATCAGAATTTATTAGATTATCATACTGGATGCTCTTAAACACTGTTATTTTTGTTTATTAATGTATTACCCTTACAATGTACCGAGTTATTATTCATCAGCAAAATCCAAGAGAGTCTTTCTGAAGTTTTAAATGCACTGTGTCCTACCTTCCACTTAGCATTTTTCTGAACATACATGTTCTGTGCCCTGAGCACGCCTCAGATTCTTCTGCATTCTTGTCTTCGAGCACACTGCTCTCTCTACCTAAAACAGATTGTGATCCCGCTGCTCACACATGTAGTTGCACTCACAGTCACTCTTCAGAATTCTTCCTATGCTTTAAAGGTCAAATGTTGCTTCCTGCATGAATCCTTCCCTTTCTTATGCATGCATTATACTTTGTATCTCTCTTACAGCATTTGTAACCATTTGCCTTCCAGCAGGTTACCAATGTACCTTTGCATTACAGACACCTCCCCTGAAGCTGTGAGCCCCTTGAAGTTGACTGATGTTTGCCTGGGTCACTTTGTACACATCACAGTGTCTGGTGCTAAACTGTTTTCCTTTAGTCCCACATTCCTCATATCCCTGTTTCTAGCCAATTTCTAGATTTGATAAGTCAGATATACCCCCAAATTTCACAACCTGTCCCCATTTCTAATATAGTGCCTGAAGAGCCTCTGCATTAGTTGGGAAGGCCAATGGAAGCCAGAAAACCAGTCCAGTAGGAGTTCCTAGAACTTGGCCTGGAGGTGGGGAGGGAGAACAGCAAACTCCTGATTGTTTCAGAAGCTTTCCAGAGAGCGTTTCTCTGTAAATTTTTTCCATTTGATCAAAAGGTTTCCCTAAATTCTACATTTAGAAACCCTGTGCCTTAGGCCCTCATTCTATGAAACACATAAACCCATAATAAAGGCAGTCTCTTTATTATCTGTTATAATATTATCTGTTATAAAATATATTATCTGTTATAATAAAGAGAATACAGAATAATGAAGTCCCAGAAAGATGCACACATCCACTGATGGAGAATTTTCTACTCCCGATGTGGGAACTGTGAGGCTGAGATGTTGGATGCCATGTGGATTACTCAGCTTGGCTGGCTGACCCAGCTCCTTCCTCGCTGCTCCACCAGCAGCTTTCCCAGGCTGGGCACCTTGTCAGAGAGGGAGGACTGTCAAAGGCACGGTGTCGCCTAGGAACTCTTGCCAGAGCCCCCAGATAAGCTCATAATGTTCCTTTGCCCAAAGAGAGTCAAGCTGCCAGCTGTTTTGCCTAATCCTTGCATAAGTCCTACACATCTCTAGGCAAGAGGCAAATGAATGAGAAAATTGCTACTTTCTGGGATAGCTGGCAGGAAATGGAATAATTTTTTTATTCCCTCTTCACCCTCCTCTGTGCCATAGAACAAGTTGTATCTTGTCTAATTTTAAAGTGTTTCTTATATTCCTCCTAATGCTTTGTTTGTTCTTACTAGTCCTACCTTAGGGCAAGCTCCTGCATTCACATCTAGAGATAATAGATAATAGGTTATACATATATTTAAAGTGTGCAATTTAATGGTATTGGTATATTCAGAATTGGGTAACCATCCCCTAGATGTCAATCATAGAACATTTTCATCACCTGAAGAAGCAACTCCATACCCTTTGTTATTATAGCCTCCCACCTGCTCCCAAGGCCCTAAGCAACCAGTGATGTGTTTTCTACCTCTAAAGATTCGCCTGTTCTAGACATTTCATAAATATTTCATATAATATATGTTCTCTTGTGACTGACATCTTTCACTTAGCCTGGTGTCTTCAAGGTTCATCTGTGTTGGAGCATGTCTCAGTACTTCATTCCTTTTCTGGCCAAATTCTACTCCATTAAATGGATATGACATTTTGTTTTCCCATTCATCAGTTGGTGAGTGTTTGGGTTGTGTCCACCTTTTCATCATTAATAATACTGCTATAAACATTGTATACAGGTTTTTGTGGACATATATTTTCATTTATCTTGGGCATATACTTATGAGTGGAATTGCTGGATCATATGGTAACTATGTTACACACAAATGTAATAACTATGTTATTACACTTGCAGTAACCTTCTAACTGGTCTCTGTTTCTACTCCCCAAACTCCACCCCCTGTGTTGCCATTAGGCTTATATTAGTCTTTCTGAAACATTGTTTTCACCATGTTTTTCTCATATTTAAGGTCTGCAGTACTTTACCATTGAGAAGCTCACCATCAAATCCTAATTCTTCCTCCTAGCTTTACTCCATCAGTAACTGAAATACATCTTGCTTATCAAACTGCCTTTTTCATCATTTCTAGAATCTAGGTGTGCATCCTCGGCATCATTCAGGCACAGTCCTCATTATCATCTAAATACATTGATTATTTCCTGTGCGTTTTGGTTTATATGGTTTTCCTTGTACAGCATCACCAACTTCCCACCTCACCTCCCCCTGCCTGGGCTCTGAGCCCCAGCTGAAGGGTTCATCTCTGCCGACTCATTGATGAGCACTCTTGGGCTCAGTGATTCCTCTCTGTTCTCACTGGTCTAACCAGTGAGAATACCTTTTGTTGTCCTTTGCTGCTGTCTGTTTTATGTGTGTGTGTATTCTCAGCTAGCTAGACCATACAGTTCTCAAGGGAAGGAACTAACCTTCGTAACACCTAGACCTGGAGAGGCGAGATCACTTTGGAGGCAGGATATACAGTGGAATACAGTGAGAGTCTAGATGCACAGGCCGCAGCTGTGGCCAGAGTCTTGGCCTGGGCTTCAGTGATGTGGGGACTGTTGGCAAAAATGGAGAGAAAGACTTGTCTCCAGGGATAACAGAAGGAGAACAACTAGAAATGGCTCCATGGTTTCCAGCTCAAGAAGTCTGAGGAATGAGGGAGGTGCCATTGATCACAGTGAAAAAGTGAGGAATACAGTGGTAATTCTAAGTCAGGATGCGTAAAATTTGAAGAGAAGAGGGATGGTAATAGATCTGTGCCCTTATGCTATCCTGTCCTTTAGTGACTGAGGGCAGGTGGGCACAAGAGCCACCAGAGCAGAAACCAGAGCCTCACCCTCTGCCTTCCCTTTATTCTCTTCTTTAACCCCCCTTTACTTCCTCCATGTGGGGTTGATTTCCTTTCACTTCTACTTCTTCACCTCTGCTTTAACCTTCTGTCTGTTACTTATCTCATCATCATCGTTTTCTACCCTTTCCTTTCTCTATCTCTTCTTAATTTCCATTTCTGATTCATAGATCTTTCTTTCCTAAAAGCCTCTCTTCTGCCATCTCTACTTTTTTTCTGTTTATATCTGCATCTTAGTCTCTCTTGTTTCTCTTTCTACTCCCTTCTCCTCATCAAAGAACACTGTCTCATAACTGCATACGTTTCTTCTTTCCTCCTCTCTTCCTATCCTACTCCCCCTCTCCAAGAACACACAGTTACACATGCCCCTCTGTGTCTAATGGTGCCCATTTTCATCCCTGCAGGAGATACAGCAGCGGCATGGTCTGGCCAACTCAATCTCTTCCTACCTGATTAAACCCGTCCAGAGGATCACCAAGTACCAACTACTCCTGAAGGTACCTCCCTCCCCTCTGTGTCACCTTCTCCCCGCTGTGTCACCCCTTCCCCTCTTTGTCACCTCCTACCACTACTGACCTGGCCCAGGGAATCCCAGCTTTGCCCAAGGAAGGGAAAGATTTCTACCTGAAGACCTTGCTTCTACCTAGAGCAGAACTTCAGAGATGAACCCACACCGGCATTGATGGCTCCAGACTGCATGTCCTAACCCATGAAATTCCAGGTGCTTATTCTGGAGAGAAAGGAGAAATGGGAGCAGGAACAAGTTACGACTATTTTCACACCCACCCTGCACTGCACAACTTTTAATGATTACCACCCCAGGCACTGGCTAACACTTAGAGCCTCTCCTGTCCACCCATCTGGGGCAAATTCCTCCTGGTGGGCCCTGTACCTGATAAGATTAGGGGCCAAGGTCATAGGGGGCAGTGCCAGTCTACATGGGTGGTAGAGGCCAGGGCAGCGCCTACCATTGCCTTAACCTCTGTGTTTGTTAAGACGTGAGGTTTTTGCAAGAAAATAGAGCACATATTAAAATACAGTGACACTCTGTGTCTGTAGGATCCAATATTGGGGTTCTGGAACCAACCAAGAAATTTGAATTTTTTCCAGTATGTTTTTTTTTAAGTCAAATAGTCAAATTATGTAAAATATTAAATAAGTTGAGCTGATTCTTCTCAGAGAAGGATACATTTACAATCTGAAAATATGACATTTCCCCACAGAAAGCCAGGGAAACTGATATTATAGGCAGTTCTGTATTAATTCTTAAGGTGTAAAAGTGGAGTTTTCCCTAAGTGATTATTTTGCTGGTTGCTCCTCAAATGCATAGGCTAAAGGGATAGTGAGAGGCATGTTATAAGTAGTATAGGTCCAGAGAAAATTTGATGGAATTCAGCTCATGTTCAGCTATACTTACAGAATTCACACATTCTAGCTTCATTAAACCTGAAAACCAGTCTAGTTTCACATCTGGGCTCTAGTCACGCTGGAGTGTGCTCACCGTTCTGGTCTGTGGGGCCTCCCTGGCTTAGCACTTGTCTTCACTGATGGTCAGAGTGGGGGCAGCAGTGAGCCTGTGCCCTGGACCTCCCTCCTCCCCAGCAGAGGTCAGGGCAGGGCCATGTACCGTGCTTCCCTTCAGCCTCCTCCTTCAAACCTTCTCCTCCTGTCTCCAAGAGGAGACTGTGGGCTTCTGCTTTGAGGCACTGAAGCCATCCCACCCTACAGAAATCACTTGGAGAATTACAATGCAGCATCCTGCCCTTGACCTTTATTGAGAACTAGTGTGAGACATAACAATGAACATCTCAGCTGTTTCAGGCAGAACCACTTTTGAAGGTGTCATCCTCTGTTTTTTTAAGTTTCTTATATAAAGTCTCACAGAAATTATCAGAAAATCAGAGTGGGATGTGGGAGGTTCTCTTCTAAAAATCCGTGTGCTCTCTATCTTTAAATCACAAGAGCTGTTGGTCCTTCTTTGCCTTGGGTTTCAGGTAGAGTTGCGTTCTGTGACTGCTTACAATAGTCTCTCCTTGGCTCGGTTTTCTGTGTATAACTATCCTCTCCTTCCCTGTCCCACCTAACCTTCTAAATGATTTTTTCTTGTGCCAGAAGATTTTTTCAAATTTATTTTTGTGTCTTTAAAATGTAAGTATCCCAAAGCCTTTGTAGGAATTGATGGGGTTGTAAATTTAAAAAAAATAACAATTCACCCAGCTATGCTGCCAGTGTCTTAAGTCAATTAAGTTGCAGTTGTCTAAGAGAAATATAGTTTTTCAATTCTCCCTTTTAATCCTATAAGGCTGAGGTTCCTGGGATTAATTGTGTGACAGACAAGGAAGTGGAAGATGGATAGGTTGCTCTGTGTTTTGCATTAGGCAGGTGGAGAGGTGGGCTCTGGGCCCTCATTCTGTAACTACACATTTTAGGAAGAGATGACTGTGCAGGTAACTGGGAAAGGGGACAAAGTGGGAATTTTGGTTATAGAGAAGTGGTAAAATTACTTTAAATAGACTTAAGATCATTTTTACCTCTTCTAAATGTGCTAGTAGCAAAGTGTTCAATAAAGGAGAAATAATTTCCTGAGCTTTTACTATAAATAACATGGGGTTTATTTTCTCATTAAAGTCAGTTTTATTCCAAGTAAGTTGGTATTTAATTACCAATATCCTCTGGGTTCCTCACTTTAGGTGTTGCATGAAAGTGAAAACCGTATGTCAGTTAGAGTGCTCAATACTCTCCACGTAAATCTGCTACAGCTGTCCTGGAGCCTGAATTAAGTGTGGAGCCTTCTCCTTAGCATGAACTACAGCAAGGATCCGAGGAGAACTTACAGCTTTGCTGGTTGATTGGTAGACTTGCCACATTGCTTTGGGGGTTAGACTAATTGGTGTCTTTCTAATGCAAACTGAAGCATATTTCTTACTTCTCTCTTATGTTTCTATGTAAAAGTTCCTTGAATGATGTATGACAACAAGGTTGGGAGGGTTAAAATTAGGAAAGCTGTGGGGAGAATCAGAGAATTTCAGGCTGGCAGAAGTAGACGCAACTTTCTGAACAATGAAGTCATTGTACTGATGGAACCAAGAACGGAGCTGAGAGCTGATCCCTTCCACTACCCCAACATGCACTCTAGGTAGTCTGCCTCTTCACTGACACTCAAAGCTCCATTCCTCATATAGGAATGTATCCAACATAACACAAAAGATTGGATTTTCATACCAGATGCTCACTAATCACTCATCTTACTAATTGTTTACAAATAATTCCAAGACAGAGGTAAAACAGAGAAGTCCAGGACCACCAATACTTTTCTTGCAGCATCAGGATGTGCTGTGGCCTGGATTAATGTACAAGGTTTCTAAATGATGTATGTTGCATCACAGCACTTATCCCTGAAGAAAGCCATTTTGTTCATGAAAGGTACTTATTTTTTACTTGGATAGTTGCATTACATATGTGATACTTTCTAAGGAGCCATGCCCCAAAAGCCACAGATTCCAGGTTTGTTTACCCTAAGAAGTTCTATACAGGCCAGAGAGAGCCTACTAAAAGCATTTCACAGATAAGGACTTTCCTGCTAGCAAGTACCATTCGTTTATTCACCAGAAGGTCTGCCATGAACATGTTTATAAGGTTTGAATCAGTAACTTCTTTCTTTCCTGGAAGTGCATCCTCACCCATCCACCCATCCCCTGCCCATCCCTGACCCCACAATCAAGAAGGAGAGAGCATGGGTTGCACATCTTTTCCTTAACTGTTTCCTTCCCAGTGTCAAAGTGAGGAAGATATAATAACCCTGATATGAAAAATGAAAGCCAGTATTTCTCTAGTTGTGCAAAATCATTCCAAGTGGTCTTTATGATTCCTAGGTGAGTTGAATATTGTATTTTCTTCATCAACCAGATACTGGATATCTTTTATGGAGATGGTAATGATCTATCTCCAAAAAGGAATTGAAAGAGAGGGCATGCTTCAGGAAGTCTTAGTGTGGTCAAGGATATGAGAGAAAAAGCATTGGCGTGGCACAAATAGTACTAGACTTGGATTCAAGAGACCTGACTTCAAGCCCCTGCATGGTGAATTCTGTAAGCTGGGGAAACCCTATTAATCACAGTTTCCCCATCTGACAATGAAAGGACTAGTCCAGAAACCCATCTCTTGGCCCCAGGATAGGAACTCTTGATCTATATGACCTAAACATCTTTTATAACTCTGAAATGCTATAAACCTCTTTGTGCTCAATGTATCTATAGCCTCAGGTTGCTCCCAGTATGGTGGAAGTCGCATTCAGGCAGTAGAGGTGTATAAAGAAAAGTGTTGCTAACAACAGATGTGCAGTGTTATAGGAGTGCTGGGCATTTGAAAACCATTTGTTTTCTCTTATGATGCCATAGTACCACACCTCTGTTCATGTGCTTTTCAGGAGTATTCCTTTCTCCAGGAGGGCAGACAAGTGACAGAATGCCCTAGATGCTGGCTTACAGTGCCAGCCATTTGGGAGTTAGGCTGAATCAAGTTGTTTTGGATTAGATTGAGTTAGGAAGCTCAGTTTGGGGGAAAAATGGTAGTTAATTTCTTTGGAGATAACTCCTCTTACCCCACTTTCCTTATAGCTTAGAGGGAACCATTACAGAGAACAAAGCTGGTGATTAATTGCCTTGATTGGCTAGGTGATGGGAGAGGGGAAGTTGAAGGGAATGATTCTAATTATGTCTGAACTTTTTTCCCAGGAACTTTTAACTTGCTGTGAAGAAGGGAAGGGGGAGCTCAAGGATGGCCTGGAGGTGATGCTCAGTGTCCCAAAGAAAGCCAATGATGCCATGCATGTCAGCATGCTGGAAGGTAGCTGTCCTCCCAGCCTCCCTGGCAGAGGGTCCTTCTTTCTTAAGGCCAGGGGACTTGCTTCATGGGAGGGAAATGGCATGAAATCGGGCAAGGGGCAAGGCTGGAAGAGAGATGAAATGGCAAGTTGTTACAGTGGTCTTCGGGGTGAGTGAGAGGAGCTTCGCAGGGGCCAGCTCAGCTGACAACCGCTTCCAGGTAGGACCAGGCCTAAGCTGTTTCAGACATGTGGACAACTTGCTGCCAGTGAGGTAGTCTAGGGCAGGCCACCATCCTTACCAAAAATGTGCTGGAACCCTGACCCACAGCAGCCCTGCTCCTCTGCACAGCATTTGTCATCCGAGTAAGCAGAAATCCTGTGTGTGTGTGTGTGTGTGCATGTGCACACACACAGCCAACATCTTAAGCCTTATGGCTTATTTTTTTATTGTAGTAAAATATACATAACAAAATTTACCATTCTAACCATTTTTAAGTGTACAGTTCAATGGCATTAAGTACCTTCACATACCCTCGCTTGCAGGTGAGAAAAGCCCACCAGGTAAACCTGATAGGGCTTCAGAGAAGTACATTAGCCCACTGTAACCATGGGACCCAGAAACCTGGTAGAGAGAGACTCCAGCAAAATTCTCCTAATAGAACAAAGCAGATGGGTGGAACAGCTATTCTGTGGGGGAAATTTTTAGATGAGTTGCGACTCAGTCTGGGCTGGCAAACAGGTGTTAAGGGAGGAGTACATATGTACATCTCTGGTCTCCCTCTCCCCCACCTCCCCACCCCACCCCTACCCCCTATCTGAAAGACCTGGTCTGGTCTCAGTACTTGCTGGACCACCCTTACTTAGCACAGGGACCCCAATTCTTAATGCAAAAGAGCTCTGGTTACCTTCTCCAGACAGAGCACTAACCATCAGAATGTATCCCTGTTGTCACAATTTCTCCACCCCTTTCATTTATTTTTGCACCTGCCCCCCAACTCCCATGCCTGGGTGTCTTCCTCCGTAAGCTCCCTTCTCCTCCCACCTTTCCCTGACCTGTATTCAGGATGCAGGCACTCCAAGTGTAGTCTGTGGGCCAGCAGCAGGAACACTTGGGAGCTTCAGAAGTGCAAATTCATGGGCTCCTTCCAATATTTCCTGAATTCTGTCTCTTGAGGGGTGAGGGGTGGACAGGAATCTGTGTTTTGACAAACCCTTCAGGTGATTCTTATGCACGCTAAAGTTTCAGAGCTTCTGTTAATGATTTAAACTGGCATAAACATAAACTATTGAGGGCTTGTGCACTGTGCTATGCAGAACGATCAAAGGGAAGAGTCCTAGGAATGGAATATAAAAAATGAAGCCATGACAAGGGAAGTGGAGCCAAGGGCATGCAGTCAGGCGGCGTTGCCCTCAGCCTGACCTGGAGCTCTGAGTCAGGGACAGTGGGAGCTGCGGCAGGAGAAGGAGCTATGGGGCTCATCCTCGCTAGGCATCCCAGGCCAGCAGGGGGAGAGGGGAGGTTGCAGAAGACATTTGAGGAGATTTCACTGCTGGTTATTCATAGGAGGCCTGGTGCAGGATGGGAGAATCTGATTACAGTTCTGAAGAACTGTCTGCTCAAGTGTTCAGGAGTCTCAGGAATCACCCAGGAGAGAGGAACCCGTGGGAGCTGAGAGCTCAGTTAGGGAGGCCTTTCTCCAAGAGGGGAGTGGAGCATGGCGCCCAGGAAGTGGGGCTCGAGAAGCTCCACAGGGTGGACATGGGTGTTTTTCAGGGTTCGACGAGAACCTGGACGTGCAGGGGGAGCTGATTCTCCAGGATGCCTTTCAAGTGTGGGACCCCAAGTCGCTGATCCGGAAAGGGCGGGAGCGGCACTTGTTCCTCTTTGAGATCTCCTTGGTTTTTAGCAAGGAGATCAAAGACTCTTCAGGACACACAAAATATGTTTACAAGAACAAGCTACTGGTAGGTGGGGCAAGTGGGGTAAGATAAGACCCCCTGTTTTCATGGAGCCCTAGAGCAGGAAGGGAACATTCAGCTCATCTCTCCCTCTGGTGCCAAGCCAAAAGCATCCTGGACAATGCCTCCTATTTGGAAAGCTCCCCTTCCTCCCACTTCTGCACTTTAGAGTTGACAGTTCTTCTTCCTGTTTGCTTTTAGTGCCTCCCTCTTCACCTTCCCTCCCTGCTACCTGCTAAGCAGTCACGTGCCTGTAGGTCCTTTCATCCTGGGTAGATGAACAAAATATCCAGTCTGTTGAAGTTTGATTGACAGAGCCCCTCCCTCGGTCCTCTCCTCTTTGTTACCTTTCCCTTCCCACCCCAGCCCTAAGTTTCCCCACTGCCCTCCCCTTCCCCGCCTCTCACAGGCATTTCCTGTCTACAGACCTCAGAGCTGGGTGTGACGGAGCACGTGGAGGGCGATCCCTGCAAATTCGCCCTGTGGTCTGGGCGCACCCCCTCCTCAGACAATAAGACAGTGCTGAAGGTAAGCACTGCTCTCTGCTGGCACAAGACCAGGGGTGGGATAGAGGGCTATGGGTGCATTACATCTAAAAGATGGGACCTGGAGATGCCACTGAGCCACTGGGCCTCTCTTGGGGAAGGCAGCACTACATGAGTATTGGGAAGCAAATTCTGTCATGGAAATAGACTCAAAACCTCAAAGATGAGTGGTCTCCCAAGTCCATGTACTTGTATGAGCAGAGGGAAGAAGACAGGGAGTGGCCCACTGGGCTTCCTCAACAGGGCCCAGTTAAATGTTCTGTCCAATCTTTAAGTGGCAAGGACAGTTGACCCTTTAACAAAATACACCTTGATTTACTCCACATTCATTCATTTTTTTCCTGAACACCTTCTATATAAAAGGCATTCTGCTCAGTGCTGATAACTATATAAAAAATAGGGATCCTCTGTATGGCCCCGGAAGATGACTGGTTAGCCAGAGACGGGTAAGATTCCTCAAGGGAGGAACAACCTAAGACAGGCACAGTCGCAGGGGGGCCATCAGGTGAGAATTTGGGGATCAACAGAGGTGAGGCTCAGAACCTCACCCCCCCTGCTTTGAGAGAAATCTTCTGCATCCGTGGATGTCTTGCTGCCCTTGTCTAGCCTGATTAATACTTAGTCCATAGGCACACACCTGATCATCTGATCATCTACATTTGCCTTCTTACAGCACTAAACTATGTTTTCTACCTTTATCTTGCATCTACCTACCACTTCAGCATTTTATTAAAAATAAAAATAATAATAATAATAGGAGAAATGTGGGATCAACATATAAATCAAGTACAAAAATCAAACGAATATTCATATTTGACCTGATTGTTTATAGGTCATAATGCATGATCAAAACCGAAAGTTTCTGTGATGAATGCCCTTGTACTATTCACCATGTAAGAATTTATTCACTATGTAAGAATTCGTTCACCATGTAAGAACTTGTTCGTTATGCTTCAGAAGATTGGAGACTGACGAGAATTAGACTTGAGATGGATTAATGATTGTACATTGAGCGTTGACCCCCCTATACTGAATTTTATTGTTGTTAACAACCATTTGATCAATAAATATGAGAGATGCCCTCTCAAAAAAAAAATAGGGATCCTATCCTCTGGGGACTTACATTCTAGACGCTCTAGTAAATCTTAATAGCATGGGAACTGTACTGATTGAGAGGAGTGTTAGGAAAGGGCCTTTCACCAGATGACAGCTTTCAGGAGTCATTTCAGCTCCACAGACAACACACAGCCTTGGAATGGAGTCAGTGTCAGTGGTAATGTTAATCTTACTGAGAAGAGAGCCTGCAGATGGAGCACCCTCCAGTCATTGCTTATCAGAGAAGTGCATGTCACCAAGGAAAAGATGGTCTAACCTGGCAAAGCTTCCACTGGTTCACTCTGAATTGCTAGCATAACCTCTACCTGTCATGAGCCAGAATTACCTGAGGAAGTTTCCACAAGGACAAATGAGATATTCATGGAATGGCAGCAGTGCATTCAATTAACATGTTTACCAGGCTAAAAACCCAGAACTGACTTTGAGTCAGTATGAGTCTATGCTGCCATACTAGGTGTTGAGTGTCCTGACCTATATCCATACCAGTTGCTGAATAGCTGCTGCCTCCCAGTGCACCCCAGTATCTAGTAAGTCAAGTGTTCATTCCTGCCAGATACTGCCCCATCCTCCAGCAACATCAGTACTGTCAGTGCCTTACAGATTATTAAATCTTGGAAAATCACCCCTGTACAAATTCTACGTTGCATCTTGAGGTCATAGCCCTGTTATAAGGGTTGGAGAAGACTGTCCCTGGGATTGAAGAGTCATGAGTATAAACTGAGAAATGAAATCCTTAAACGTTTGTATCCTTGAAAACAGTGGATTAAGCCTGCAAAAGGAAGGTCAAGAACTATTTTGGTGGGTGAAGGGAAATACGGTTCTCACTCTTTCTCCCTGTGGCACTCCAGGCCTCCAACATAGAAACCAAGCAGGAGTGGATCAAGAACATACGAGAGGTGATTCAAGAAAGGATCATTCACCTGAAAGGAGCTTTAAAGGAGCCAATTCAGCTCCCCAAAACACCAGCCAAACAAAGGAACAATAGCAAGAGGTAATGAGCATCTCCCCCTGCACTGCCTCACACTATTCCGGGAGTGGGAGCGGGGTGCACCTTTCTTCCGCAGGGGTGGTGCACTCCACAGTGGCACCTCTCTCCATGGAGCCCTACTGAGTTCTACCTAAGATGAGTTATCTCCTCTTTAAGCATTTCGCCAATTACTGTCAAGTAAATTCAGCAGGGCTTCACTGAGCACCTCTCATTTCATAGACGCACTGCTAGGTGCTTCAGGAAGATAAAAGAAGGGTAAGATGAGTCCATTCCCACAGAACCATCTAACGATCATGCCTCACACATGGAACAGTTAGAGAAGAAGGACCAATACCACCTGTAGGGACAGTAAATGCTGTAAGAATTCAAAGTAAGGGGACTTCAGGGTTGTGCTAGAGCAGAGGGTCTGGGGAAGGCTTTGGGAAGGAGGTGGGTCCTGCGTAGGGAGCTCTCTGGGCTGGTTAGACAGTGAAAGGGCTTTGCGTACTGTAGCACATGGTGGGTGGTACGGTAAGGGTGTCACTACAGCTTTTACTGCAACCCCCCAGAGTCCTCCCCTTCATTCATCTGAGATAAGCAATGTGCTCTGGCAGAAGAGGATTTAAATGTTGTATCATTGTCTCTCTGGGCCCTTCTGAATCCCAGTTTCCCTTAGACCAGTGGATGACTTCTAAAGTGTTTCTTCTCAAGTCTCCACGTGATAGTCACCTACAACCACTCTTTTGGAGGGCACCTCAAAAGCATACAAAAGCTTTGTGTCAACTTTGAAAAAAATAAAATGCTTAGAGTTCTGAGGGTGATGTCACTGGTGGTAACAGACTGTCCTCTCCCCCGCTAATGATGGGTGGGATACATCCAGATTCGTTGGTCCTTTGGTGCCAACCACAGTGTGCAGGCTGGAGAGCCACCACAGGGCCTGCAGAACAGCAGCTTTATTAGTCCAGCTGGAAGCGATGGCCAGAAGAAGGGTTGTGACTAAGGTAGGGAGAGGTACCTCCATGGGGCAGAAACCCCAAGCCCTGCATGGCGGCATAAGGTCGTCCCTCAGTCAGGAAGGACAAATCATGCCTGTATCTGGCGGAGGAGTTATTTTGGTTTCGGTTACCTCCGTCCAGAGTCCAGGTAAGAGCAAATCTAGTTCAGCACTAGAGACAGACTCGACTGCAATAAGCCCCTACTTTAATAAGGAAGGCAGAATGGAAGCAGTTATAAAGAACAGTTATAAAGGTCCAAGGCTCTGGTGAGAAAGGATTTTCAGAAGAGGTTGGCTAGGATTACTTCATGAAAGAGCCCCTTTTTCCTACAGTAGGAGAGTTTGAGCATCTCTAGAACATGGGATGGACAGATATTGAAACTACCCCCACCTTTTCTCTTTCATTGTCCTGTGATGAGAAGGTGAGAAACCTTAGACTGCAGAGAACAGCCAGGCAGTCTGTAATTTCATTGGCTTGCCTCCCCGGACATGGGGACAGCACTTACGGAGGCGTGGATTGGCTTGGGAAATACTTCCCACATGCCTGGATGGGCTCCTCACATCCCCCAGAATGGGCTTCATCTGGAGTGGACCAGAAGGGCCCACTGGGCCAGAAAAGTGGGAAGCAAAAAGTACAGCGAACTCTCAATTGTCTACAAATGGTGGGGAGCAGTGGCCCAGATATCTACAGTAACAGATGATCTCAAAGTCCTTTATTTTTGGTTTTGAAGTGCATTGCACAATTTCTTTTTACAGCAGACTTTCCCTCCTACGAACTGTGTGGCTTATTTTATTATTAAAATAAGTTGGCATTTCCTAAGCCCACAAGTGGTAATGGAGAGCAGCCGATGTTGATGTGTCCTGGGTGGGAGAAGACACATTTTATGACCAGAAGTCACTGTGTATATACATATGATTCATATGGGTGACCGCATGTGTGTGCATGTCCATGTATACCAGATTGTAATGGATTTGACTCTGTGCAGCAGCTTCCATGTGGGGGGGATTTTGCCCATGTGGTAAAGTTCCCCTTTCCCCTAATGCCATTACTTCTCCAAAAGTAGCATCAGGAGTGTGACTTTTATAAAAGCTTCCATGGGAAGAGCTGTCATTTTGCATGAGTTTGTCCAACCCCTGGCACACATCTCCAGTTTTTCCTGACACAGACCATTCAGCCTTCACCACTTCCCAGATATTTATCCCGCTTGGTGCTGGCAATGAGTTCAGTGCAACACCAGGACACAGTCCCAAAGCTGGGGAGTTGGAAGAGCGTGTGAATGGAACAACTCTTTGGTCCAGGGGCCCGGGAAGGGGTCCAACTGCCAGGAGTGCACTTGAGAGCCTGTCTTATCAGATGCTTGGAGCACAGCTGGCTCAAAAGTTGCTGGAGAATCTGTGACTCTTCTGTCTTTGAGGAGATGTCTTGGCCTTCTGTGTTGCTAAGAAGTTGCCATAAATAAGCATGAGATCAACAAGACTCACCAAAATGAAGGCAGTAAACTCTTCCTCCATAACCAGGAGCTGAGCATCCACCACTAGGAACTTCCCAAAGATAATCTCCCCTGGAGAAAATATCCCACCCCATCTCCTTGAGTAGAAGAAACCCAAGTCAAAAACTCTCTTATCAGTTCCTTTTTCTTTATTGGCCTGTCATAAACTGACCCCCATCCTAGTACAGTATACAGAAAAATGATTTGAATATCCTGAACTCTGGGATTGTGGGAGATGACCCAGTCAGTGGGATAGAAGCATAGGTTCTAAACAAGATGCACTTCTTCCTACTGCCCATTATAGACCCATCCCCAGTAAAATATAACTAATAGTTGTCCCCTTTGTTCCATGGGCCAAAGACATTATGGAGAAGGAGTCATTTTGCATTCAGTTATCAGCATAGTGATCATGTGTTTACTAAGTACAAAAGGTAACATCTTTGAAAACCACAGAGGGGCTGCTACCTTTAGTGGGATAATTTTAGACAAATCCCTGCTGAAAAGTGCTGAGCTCTCCTCTGCAGCCCAGCTGGAAATCCTTGTATGCTCTAAACCCACAGTGCTTTCCCCCCACCCCCACCCCTGGTTTTCTTTTTCTCTCTTCTTCCTGCAGGGATGGAGTAGAAGATGTTGACAGTCAGGGGGATGGGAGCAGCCAGCCCGATACCATCTCCATTGCATCTAGGACCTCTCAGAACACCGTGGACAGTGACAAGGTAGGACAGAGCCCCAACCTTCCTTCCACCAGACTTGTTGGCTTAACCGCCCTGGAGAGTTACACCCCCCCAGAGGAATTCCTCCCACTGTGGAGCCTTACCTCGGGAGCCGGTTCTCTCTGTGTGCCCACCAAAGGGGAGAGAGCAGGGCTGGAGGAGGTGTGTCACAGCGTGGAGCTCTTGTCTGAGGGGTCAGAAGGTGGGGCGGCTAGCCAGACCGCCCCCCCGGCGTGAGAGTTGAGCAGAGGTGTTGAGGGCAAGGAGTAAGAGTCTGAGTGTCCTGGCTGCCTGGGCTGCTCTGCCTCCTGGGAGGATAGACCTCAGGGAGCGGAGGCTGGGATAGTTTCCTGAGATCTAAATGGCTGTGACTGGCTCATATTTATAATGATTTGAATGGGCTTGGCTCATAGTTAGACCAAGACCAGTGATTTGGGAAATGGCCACAGAGATGCAGGTTGCTAGGAGCCTCCTGTCTCGAAGGGCTCTGGTGGACATGATATCTTCCTCTGGCCAGATAACTGGGTCTCAGTTCCTGAGGGCAGAGGACCAAGAAGTGCTTTATGAAGCAGTATGTAGGGATGTAGTAGTCTTGTGAGAAAGCCTCTCTCACATTTTGGAACAAATAAGCCGAAGTTAGGAGCTCTGATGGGGAGAAAAAGCAAGGGGACAGACTCAGTGCACTTGCTCCAGCTGGGGAAGAGCTTAACTGTCTGAATGCGCAGCAGAGGCAGAGGAAGGTTTTATGTCCAACCCTGCTCTCATTTGCTCACCTCAGGGTTGGAAGTGTATAGATGACCTTTTGCTGCATAGTAGTGATTTTATTAATGAAGATAGAGATTTTCAAAGTTTGGCCCAAATTTATCTAGACCTAGTATTTTGCCCTACAACTTCAGCCTCTGGCAACTGTGTCCTTGCTTTGCTTTAGTTTTCTGAGTTATGGGGGTTTTAAAAGATGATCTACAGTCATTAAGATTGCTCCTAATTTTTTTCTTACTGGCAAAAAAAACTACCCCCAGACCTCCCAAGATCACAGTGCTAAATCACACTCTGGACTAGTGTCCAAGAACATTCAAGGAATTCTGTCTGACATCCTGCCTTCAAGTTGCTGAACAATTTTTGACCGACTATCAGAATGGATGGAAAATTATTTTTTCCACTTGTAAAAACATACAAAGGAAACCATTTCTGTACTTCCTTTTTTGATCTATTGTTTAGAAACATAACCTAGAATATACTATGAATGAAAGTGTTTTTTTTTAAACAGTCAATGGATGGTAAGTGAAATGCAGTGTCCCACATGTTCAGACATAGCCTTATTAGTTTCCTGGGTTGAAGGGCTTTGTCCTTTCCAGCTGCTATTGCATCTTCCCACAGCCTGACTTAGGCACAGATACCTGTGCTAGGGTCCTCTGTCTCAGGAAACCTTTGGCTCCGGCCATTCCTTGTCTTCTGGCAAGGTGAGTGAGGGTAGCTTAGAACTCCTCTGCCAGGAAGCATTTTGCTATTAATGAGGAATCCTGGTATTTACACCTATTCTACAAGTAAGGAAACTGAAGCCCAGAATGGCTGAGTGATTCACCCAAGAAAAGTGTAGTAATTAGGAGAAAAGTAGGAGTTGGAACCTGCATCTCCCTGATTCGGTCATGTTTTCCTTGCTCGAAAAATCAAAGCACTAGACTCCCAACGCTAAGATTAACTCAGCTGGCCAGGCTTTCTGCACATTGCACAGAAACATTAAAAACACATTCATGAAAAAGCACCTATCACGTGCCGAGCTCTGTGCTGGATACTGTAGAAAGATGTGCACTATTCGTTGAGTGTGAATCTTTATTTGTGTAATTTTCGTTTCATGTGTGTCTCTATAGCCAGGCTGTTAAGGCCTGATGCGGGCAGGGGTTGTGTCTGTCTGTTTCACTGCCGTCCCCCTGGCCCACAGCACACACACACTCAGGAAGGACTTGGGGAATGAATGAACAGAGGGGATGCGGTCCCTGATCTCAGAAACTCCAGAATCAAGAGGCAGCTGAAACACACGTTCTGAAAGCAGCCAAACATACAAACCTTATGTCTTAAATATTCTGAAGAAGTCTGGAAGTTTCCTTACCTCCATCAGAAAGCTTCAGTCAGCTGGAGAACCTGGGCTATTGGGAACAGTAACCCCCAACTACTTCCTCAGATCTTAGAAAACATGGGCAGCAGGCCAAGAGATGATGAGAAATTCTGCGCTCCATACATGAAACCTGGAAAATCACTTAGAAATAATCACATTCAGAATAAAATAAAGACAGGGCATGTCTGTGATCATGCACTGTGATTTAGAATGTTCCCACTCTTCTCACAGAACAGTAATAACAGGAAAGCCGTGTGTCCACAGTGGATACTCCCCTCCATCAGAGAACCGTTAATTGGTAACGTTGAATTCATAGATGTTATCAACACTGTTAAATTTTCCTCTGATTATATAAGAAGACCAGGAAACTGGTCTCCATTGGTTTCCAAGTGGTCAGGTGAACAGACTCTGAAGAAGAGAAAGATGACAACATGGATGAGTCAGGTAAACTGAACCATATTCAACAGAAGGACAGATAAGGGCAGCGGTGGGGAGGGGATGGAGCAGAGACCCCTCACATGGATTGGGGTCATTTTAGGGTTTCCAGAAAAGGCCCTAGTCTTCCTGTTCTAATCCAGAAGAATTATAATAGTGGCACTGCTTGCCTGGGTAGATGAGGAAAATGTAACCATTAAACTTCACAGCGGACTGACTGGAGCTGCTGTGACACCTCTACAGTCACCGTGTGTGCATTTTGTGTGCTGCAGTGGGGTGGAAGGAATTTGGACACAACTGGGTTCAAATCCCAGCTCTGGGACTTACCCCTCTATCACACTCTATGAGTTATACTGCACCTTAATTACCCTATCTGTAAGACAAAGATAATACCCATCTCACGGAGTCATTGGGAAAATTAAGTAAAATATGTTTACTTGGCAGGAAAAGTTAATTCCCCATCCCCATTAGAAGCGAATAAAAGTTTATAGATACCATGAATAAGAGTGCACAATTATTTGGCAGACCGTGAGGATCTTTTAAAGTTCTTGAGTAGAGTTCTGCCTTCCCAGTTTATTGTTTATTAACTAACTGTCAGCAGGTTCTTTTATATATTAGACCTGAGGGAGGTAGCTTCAGTTTACCCATTTATAAGCAGAACAATCTCTCTTATCAGTTCCTTTTTCTTTATTGGCCTGTCATAAACTGACCCCCATCCTAGTACAGTATACAGAAAAATGATTTGAATATCCTGAACTCTGGGATTGTGGGAGATGACCCAGTCAGTGGGATAGAAGCATAGGTTCTAAACAAGATACACTTCTTCCTACTGCCCATTATAGACCCATCCCCAGTAAAATATAACTAATAGTTGTCCCCTTTGTTCCATGGGCCAAAGACATTATGGAGAAGGAGTCATTTTGCATTCAGTTATCAGCATAGTGATCATGTGTTTACTAAGTACAAAAGGTAACATCTTTGAAAACCACAGAGGGGCTGCTACCTTTAGTGGGATAATTTTAGACAAATCCCTGCTGAAAAGTGCTGAGCTCTCCTCTGCAGCCCAGCTGGAAATCCTTGTATGCTCTAAACCCACAGTGCTTTCCCCCCACCCCCACCCCTGGTTTTCTTTTTCTCTCTTCTTCCTGCAGGGATGGAGTAGAAGATGTTGACAGTCAGGGGGATGGGAGCAGCCAGCCCGATACCATCTCCATTGCATCTAGGACCTCTCAGAACACCGTGGACAGTGACAAGGTAGGACAGAGCCCCAACCTTCCTTCCACCAGACTTGTTGGCTTAACCGCCCTGGAGAGTTACACCCCCCCAGAGGAATTCCTCCCACTGTGGAGCCTTACCTCGGGAGCCGGTTCTCTCTGTGTGCCCACCAAAGGGGAGAGAGCAGGGCTGGAGGAGGTGTGTCACAGCGTGGAGCTCTTGTCTGAGGGGTCAGAAGGTGGGGCGGCTAGCCAGACCGCCCCCCCGGCGTGAGAGTTGAGCAGAGGTGTTGAGGGCAAGGAGTAAGAGTCTGAGTGTCCTGGCTGCCTGGGCTGCTCTGCCTCCTGGGAGGATAGACCTCAGGGAGCGGAGGCTGGGATAGTTTCCTGAGATCTAAATGGCTGTGACTGGCTCATATTTATAATGATTTGAATGGGCTTGGCTCATAGTTAGACCAAGACCAGTGATTTGGGAAATGGCCACAGAGATGCAGGTTGCTAGGAGCCTCCTGTCTCGAAGGGCTCTGGTGGACATGATATCTTCCTCTGGCCAGATAACTGGGTCTCAGTTCCTGAGGGCAGAGGACCAAGAAGTGCTTTATGAAGCAGTATGTAGGGATGTAGTAGTCTTGTGAGAAAGCCTCTCTCACATTTTGGAACAAATAAGCCGAAGTTAGGAGCTCTGATGGGGAGAAAAAGCAAGGGGACAGACTCAGTGCACTTGCTCCAGCTGGGGAAGAGCTTAACTGTCTGAATGCGCAGCAGAGGCAGAGGAAGGTTTTATGTCCAACCCTGCTCTCATTTGCTCACCTCAGGGTTGGAAGTGTATAGATGACCTTTTGCTGCATAGTAGTGATTTTATTAATGAAGATAGAGATTTTCAAAGTTTGGCCCAAATTTATCTAGACCTAGTATTTTGCCCTACAACTTCAGCCTCTGGCAACTGTGTCCTTGCTTTGCTTTAGTTTTCTGAGTTATGGGGGTTTTAAAAGATGATCTACAGTCATTAAGATTGCTCCTAATTTTTTTCTTACTGGCAAAAAAAACTACCCCCAGACCTCCCAAGATCACAGTGCTAAATCACACTCTGGACTAGTGTCCAAGAACATTCAAGGAATTCTGTCTGACATCCTGCCTTCAAGTTGCTGAACAATTTTTGACCGACTATCAGAATGGATGGAAAATTATTTTTTCCACTTGTAAAAACATACAAAGGAAACCATTTCTGTACTTCCTTTTTT